ACAAAATACTTTTATAGAGACTCCTGCGACGGACTTGTTTTTAATCTAAATATTCCGTTTTCAGCATGTCACGCGGAATACGCGCTCTTTTTTTGGTAAATAATTTTTCCGTCGTAGGATACACACGACGCTCTGGCGCTTGGTTTGACAAGCTAAGTCGCCGTTTTCTTCGCTATACTCTCCATTGGTAGCAATGGTTGTTTGGTCAATGGTTGCCCAGTGATTCTTTATAAGGAAACGGGTAATGTTACCATTACCATTTACATTATGTTTTGATTGCTGGTAGGCTAATGTTTACCTTAAACTACCGATACTGGTACAGAACCTTCCACAGTATTTTATAAATTTCAACCGTAGCACTGCTTGTTAGGTTAAAGGACACCAAAAGTATTTATATAAGGAAACGGCTAATATTCAAATTAGTGGGGATCTACCGGAATATCTCAGCAGATCTATTTTCATACCACTAAGAAACCAGGCACAGACGAATGTGAACCACACCGAAGAATCAGCCTAATGAGCCACATAAGAAAACTCCTCATCCGTATTCTGCTGAATAGAGCACACAGAAGAATCAGGTAAGGGATAGGACAATAACAGTGCGGTTTCGGTAATGAAAACCTGGACCACGAAAGAGAAATATAAATGAAGAATGACGTGCGCCTATGTTTTATAGACTACGCAAAGGCGTTCGACGAAACCCGCTACAAAGATCTTTCGGAGCTGCTCAGCAGCCTTGATATATTTGGGAAAGATATAAGAGTAGTAAAAACAGAACCAGTGAATAAACATATACCAAAGCTTTATTGCAATTTACTCTGACGACTCGTCTACTGACGGATACTTCACGATGCTTGTTATATCTCCTAGATCTTAAGGGGAGATAACTGATGATTTATCAGTACAATTAGAATAATCAAGAACCTATACCTGGCAGAAAACGGCATGGATACGAATAGAAAATGAGTTCAGTAGATATACAAACATAGAAAGGGACGTAAGGCAAGGATGTGTCTTCTCACCGGACTTATTCAACCTATTCAGCAATGCAATTCAGAGTGAACTGGAAATCCTACCAGCGGCCAAAATCTTAACAGCATAAGATATGCAGATAACAGTGCTGATAACAGACACGGAAAGGAAACTACAAAACCTCCTACAGAAGGTAGCGAAGGAGAGCGAGAAGAAGGGACTAAGCATAAAATACAAGAAGAGAGAATGCATGGTCATCAGCAAAAAGAGGAGTCCAAAATGTGATTTACAGGTCGGGGGCACTAAAATCAAGTAGATGCGGAAATTTAAATATCTGGGAAGTGCTCTGACAGAGGACGGTAAGTGCGACGCTGAGATCCAAAGACGTCTTGGGATGGCCAAAGACGCATTCAAAAAGCTAGGCAGACTATTACGAAACAGGAAGATTTCGTTGGTAACAAAGAAAAGAGTACTGAGCTGCTATGGGATAGCTGTCCTCCTTTATGGCAGCGAATGTTGGACGGTCTCCTCCAAGATGAAGAGACTTGCGACAACGGAGATGTGGTTCAACAGAAGGATGCTAAGGTTACATAGGCCAAACGTGTGGACAAAGATGAGGTCTTGGAGAGGATGCAAACAAGGAGGAAGCTTACACTTAACATCAGGAAGAAGCAGCTGAAATTTCTGGGACACGTAATGAGAAGGGAAGACTTGGAAAAACTGACACTCACTTGGCGAACTGAAGGAAATAAGGACTAGGAAAAGCACTGACATTCAAGTGATTGAGAGAACAGGGTCTGGTAGAAGTAGCCAAAGGACAAAATTTATTAAAAACTACAAGGGGTAGGAGTTAGTGGAGGGCCATGATCGACTACGTCCTGAATGGACACGGCAGATAAAAGAGGATTATAAATGAAAAGAACAGATATTACACATTGATCCCAAATCGATGATCAGTAAGAGAAGAAAAGCGTAAGACTGGCTGTTCGTACAATGAACGAAGATTATTTTCTTATAAGTAGAGGGCTGATATAACCATTAACATTACCGTCCATCAAACGTAAACCAGAAACATTATTAGATAGTGGAATGCACAGGATCCATTACATTCTCAGAAAATATTTTCGAATATTTGAAGAGCGATTTCCAATTGACATTTAACATTTGACGTTAGGCTGTCTTTGCAGAATTTTTTAGAAATCGTAGTGCAAGAAGCAGGCAAGCAACTATTTCCAAAGAGACAATAATACCAAAATGTGAGCGTTTTTTTTCTTTCTTCTTTTTTTTCCCCCCTGAACTTATTCCTCCAATTCGAGAAATCGTCGTGAAGGACTTATTCGGTCTCTATTATTGTTTAAAATAAATGCGCTGGACGGACAATTGTTCTTTGATATTAACAGAAGCAAAACTTATGACAAAGCAATTTGAATGAGCGATCGGCATTTGATTTGATTGCAAGATGACGTTGAATGCCCTTGTGTCGACTGGTTCAATAATGAACAGAAATACGGAAAGTCTACTGAGAAACCAGGATCCATCAATCTGTATATAGAACATTACAAATATATATATATATATATATATATATATATATATATATATATTCTCTTATTGTGTGTGTGTGTGTGTGTTAATATCATCCTGTTTTTATTTATCTATCTATTTTATATATATATATATATATATATATATATATATATATATATATATATATATATATATATATATATATATTATTTTCATTATATATCAAATTACTATATATTATTCATTCTGTTCATTATATAATTCTTATATATTTTAATCATTTTATATCTTTACCTATCTATCTATCTATATCTATCTATATATCTATCTATATATATATGTTAAATATATCTATCAGACATCTACAGACAGACTAAAATTAAAGTTGATTCATTATCTTCATACATAAGTTTAAAATATATATATTTATCTAATATATATATCTAATTACCCTTTGTGAAGAATCAAAGAACTATATCATCTAAAAATGGTGGTCTTTTAAAATTTATATCCATATCTGTTTAAATATCTATCTAAATTTTTACTATCGATCCATCATTTAAAAAAATAACAAAAGAATTAATATATATATATATCATCTAGGTTTTTTTTTTTTAGAAACTATTTATATATATATATATATATATATATATATATATATATATATATATATATATATATATATATATATAAATATATTGTGTGTGTGTGTGTGTGTATACATTTATGTATATGAATTTCATACTACACATTGAACATATATATAAACATGTATATATATATATATATATATATATATCCATATATAAAGAACATATATATAAAGAAATTGTAAGATATATAATCCGGTGTTCTTATAGATATTTTTATTTTTACAAAATAGTGCTCAATGTAAATTTACAGAGCATTGATATTATAAATTAATTGATTTAAAATATGTTTTTTTTTCGCTACACAGTTCTAACCATGTTTCAAAAATGGAAGCTAAAAGCTTTGAATTTAATTTTGTAATTAAATTAAAGACATTAGTTCCATTTCATCCTCAGGCGAATTTTGGAGTAACTTTTAAAATTACTGGGTTTTAAAGACACAGATAAAATCATAATTCACGTTTCCATGGTTACAGATAAATCCACTTCCATTAGACAAGACAATAATACGAGTTACGTCAAATTTTGGGGAATCAGAATTCTACGGTACAATACATACACACAAAAATGCACCCTCCCATACACAGACAGACAGATGAACCAAGTACTAAACATTTAGAAGTTTATCAAATAAAATATAAGGTACACTTTTAAAGTGATTAATAAGCTAAGTCAGTACACAAAAAAAAATATATATATATATTTTTATATACTTACTTACACTAACATTTTTTTTGCACACACACACACACACACACACACACACACACACACATATATATATATATGCATGTGTCTGTGTGTGTGTGAGAGAGAAAGAGAAAAATCCGATATTCTGACCCACATACAATATCACTTGGTCCGTTGATATATATATATATATATATATATATATATATATATGTGTGTGTGTGTGTGTGTGTGTGTGTGTGAAATAGATGGGTAATGTGTGTGTGCATGTGTGTGTGCATGTGTGTGTGTGTCTGCGTGTGTGTGTTTAAATATGTTTGTGTAGCATAGGCGACAGCTATTTTATGAATATATATACACATAACAACATATGTATGATAATATTTAAGCATCTTTACAAATATATATTATTATTAGAGAGAGAGAGAGAGATGGAATATATACAAAATATATATATATATATATATATATATATATATATATATATATATATATATATATATATATATACAGACTGTGAAAGGGGTGTATGTATGTGTTTAAAGACATGCATATTTTGTTCTCTATCTGCACAGACCCAAATCAACTGAGGCACTCAGAACGGATATTTCTAATGTGCATTTTATGTTGCAGGCTAAATCGCTGTTGAAGATTATCAAATGTTTCCAGTCCAAAAATATTCTTATAATCTGAACAGATATCGCTAATGACATTATTGATGGTGAAAACATTCGACGTTGCAATCTAAAGGGTGCATCGTCGAAAGGGATGTCGAACGTTCCGTTTGTGTCAGAGGGCGTACAGGGAAAGAGTCACCGTCTTCACCGCCTACTTCCGCCAAGGTCACCATTGATGTGTTTGAATCAATTTCCGGTTAGCTTGAGAAACCACGGCTGCAGTGTCTGCATCCCCCAGCCAATCAAAGGGTCTAGAGGGCTTTCATGTCGGAGGAGAATGTGACGGTAGCAGAAAGTGTGAGAATATTGAGGGGGGGGATTAATTAATTATATAGAGAGAAAGATAGCCAAACGTACAGATAGACAAAGAGAAGGGAGTGTATGTGTGTGTGAGAGAGAGAGGGGCAAAGAGAGAAAGTAGAGACGAGTACAAGCTAAAAAAGAAAAGTCATGCAGAGAGAGAAAGATTATATAAGTAAACTGA